GTTTCCCATTGGAGCTTCAACCTATGTTTGTCACGTGAATGTGCTTTGTCCCTATAATTGACATGGTAAAGAATCTAGTTGGAATCCTCCCAAACAAAGGTATAAATGAATAAAAATATGAAGCTAAATGGATATTAGATAGGTTTCGTGATTTAGTCATGTTCACTTGTGATGACATTCCCTTGTATGGTGTTTTTATTAGGCCCACTTTTTCTTAAACTGCCATTGCTTGCTTATCCTGTCAATTTTTTCATCTTGAATTTCATTTTTGCAGACAAACTTGATTAAAGAAAGCATTAGAATGGGATACAATGATTTTGGAGACTTTTATTATGCTCATGGTCAATTGGGGGAAGCTTTTAAAAGTTATGTCCGAACTCGGGATTATTGCACCACATCGAAGCACATTATTCACATGTGTATGAGTGCAATTCTTGTCAGCATAGAGATGGGTCAATTTCCTCATGTTACAAGCTATGTTAGCAAGGCAGAACAGGCACTGGATGTCCATGACTCAATAATTGTTGCAAAGCTACGATGTGCCGCAGGATTGGCTAATCTAGAGGCCAAAAAGTACAAACTTGCTGCCCGAAAGGTCTTGCTCCTTAGCTGCTTTTTTAACTCTATTTTTGCTCTGAGTCAGTCTAGACTTAGACCAATCTAGCATGATTTATGAAATCCCTGACTTGGATTTAAGGATTCAACTATTCATTTATTATTTTTTATGTGTGAACCTATTAACATAATTGCTTATAACTCTGTGAACCTCATTTTCATTTATTAATGCAGTTTCTAGAAACAGGACCTGAACTGGGAAGTCACTATAATGATGTAATCGCACCTCAAGATGTTGCAACATATGGAGGACTTTGTGCACTTGCTACATTTGATAGGGCAGAGTTAAAGGCAAGTACTCCAATATATTTTTATGATGTTTCTTCTTATCAATGACTTCTCAGAGACATTGATGATGTCGTCTTTATTTATTTATTTTTTCAATGCTTGGCAGAGCAAAGTTATAGACAATTCCAACTTTCGCAATTTCTTAGAGCTAGTACCCGAAGTAAGGGAACTGATAAATGATTTTTACTCGAGGTAAGTTGGTCTTCTCATTCCCTTATTGTTGTTCTATTATCTCACGTAGTTGGAACTAGTCACTCGGCATGACTTTTTGTCTTTTAGGTTAGCTTAATTCGAATTAAAATACAAAAAAAACACTGGTAGGGGGTAGGTACATGAAGTTCTTCATGCGCTGTGCTAAGTTGTCTGAAAAAAATACCGGATTTTTAAAAAGTTGGTTTGGAAGGTTTGCATGGAGAGTATAACATCAATTTGTTAGACAGTTAGACGGTAATTGATTGCTGCGAGGTTAGCTATGTGTTATATTGATTATCAATTAAACCTTTTCTTTTGGGCTTAATAAGTGGTTGGTTATAGTTCAAGTCATATTATTGTTGCCCTTTTGAGTTGTGTTCTGCAAATTAAGACATTGTATTTTAAGAATTCAATTTTCATGTGTTATCAATGTAATAAAATTTGTACTGTCAACTACTTAGAAATCGTCTCAACCATGACATAAGTCAATAAACTTATCCTACATGACAATGTGATTACTGTCTGAGTGCTGTGCATACAAATTAAAATTTCTCATTTTTAATATTTTTGAATTGATGAAATCTGAGAAAGGGCTTGTTACGTAATTACATATTTTAATATTTATTTTATTCTTAATTGTTTTTGCGTTAAAATATTTATGTATATTTTAATATGTATATCTTGCTGAAATTGTTTCTTTGCAGTGGCTTACTTTCCTGTCCTCAAATGTCTTTTCTGTGGTTTTGTGGAGAATATATTTATTTCGATCTCTTTGCTTCCTTTTAACAGCCACTATGCTTCATGTCTGGAATACCTCGGGAACCTCAAAGCAAACCTATTGCTTGATATACATTTGCATGACCATGTTGAGACACTTTATGATCAAATTCGTCACAAAGCCCTTATCCAGTACACACACCCATTTGTGTCTGTTGATTTGAACATGATGGCTAATGCATTCAAGACAACTGTTGCTGGACTTGAGAAAGAGCTAGAAGCATTGATTACTGATAATCAGATACAGGTCTGGCTGACTTAATTTGCCTCGATTGGTCCATACATCGATTATGTTGAGTTTATGATGAAAAAAATCAACATATATTTTTTTATACCTTTAGCACACTAGGGTCGGCCTAGTGGTTGGGGGTAACAATTTTTTTTGTACCTTTACAATAAAACAGTCTAAACAGGATTTAAACAGTATTATTGGTGGAACCTTTTGCAGGCTCGAATTGATTCACACAACAAAATTTTGTATGCACGGCATGCGGATCAAAGGAATGCCACCTTCCAAAGGGTTCTAGAAACTGGAAGAGAATTTGATCGTGATGTTCGTTCCATGTTACTGAGATCAAATCTTATCAAGCATGATTACAATCTTCGAGCATTAAGGAAACTTTGATTGTGAACCGAAGATAAGGGAATGAAGTTGTGGTTTTATATATATCACCGGGCACAGGCATGGTCAACTATGATGGAGCAAGTTTCTAGAGTGAAGGTAAGATTGCCTTACCTCATACTGGATTCAATCAACGTTGCAAAACGTACGTTTGTGCAAACATTTAACGGCATATTATGCTCTTTTTGTATATACTCTTTCATAATTTCGATTATTTTGTCACAAGATATTCATTTTCTGGATTTAACCCCGCATCTCTTTTTCGGCAACTCCGTTGCGTAAGACTGAGTCTTGCTGGTCCAAAATCATTCTCATGAGCTGTCATTTCAACTCCTTTAACTAGCCTATTTTGGCAGGAAAGTTTGAAGTTTCCAACTAAGTATCCCTTTTCTTACCTATCAAAACTGTTGTGGAGGGGTAGTGTTGGCTGATTGGGTTTATCTTGGAGGGGCTAGTTTTAATTGTCTGATGATTCTTAATCATGGTAGAGTAGTATTATTTGGTCCAATTTTTTTAGTTTTACTTATTTTAATGTTTTATGGAAATATAAGGAATCAGTTATCATGGGACTTTATACTCACTATAGATGGTCAAAATCTGATTGATTTGGTTCAAGTGTGTCTCATTTCATGTTTTGTTGACAGGTGCATATATATATATATATATATATATATTGTTACGTACTAGGGGTATATTATTTTTACTAATAAAGGAGTTTAATGTGAGGTTGTGTTATTTATATCATCAAATGCTGAAAAGTAAAGTTATCCTACTATAAAAAAGAAAGCAAAACTAACCGCTTACTCAGGAATTTCGTATATTTTTTCATAAAAGGGAAATCTTAATCCTTTTATTGAAAGTTTATTTTTCACTAGTATACTAAAATGGTATAGTTACACAGCTAAGCTTTGACGGTAAAATGTTTGTGACTACAATTTTGTACGTACCGTTAATGTTAGAATTAGGTACTACAATTTTAGTGACTACAATTTTGGAATTAGGTACTGTTATTATAATTCTGACTGAGTATGCAATTGAAATTTAGAATTGTAGTTTAATTATAATCATGTTAGAAAGGTTTTCCAGAATTGAAAGGACAATTTTAGGATATAATTTCATGCACTTCTGGTAGTATAAATGATTTTGACATTTATAGTGAATAGCTGACTCACGCTTAGACTAAAAATCTAAACTGTTTGATATTTCTCAATTCTAAATTACTATTGCGTTTCTCATCTCTTCTCCTTAGTATAAGAGTATTATGAAGGAAAACCCTGAGAAAAAATTACAGACATCTGGATAAAATCTGACAGATATTACGGGTTTGCCATATTACCCGTATCCACCAAAAAAGACTTACTAAATGGATTCTTTGTAATTTAGTATATTGATAGTGTAATTTTACTTGAGCGTAAATATTTAAATGATTTCTTTTGAAATTTAAAAACTAATGTAAAAATATAAATTAACTTTTAATCTTACTCGTACCCACACATTTTAAAATAGAATTTTGTATTGCTGGACGAGGACGAGTAAGGAATATCTACAATTCTCACAGTTTTCTTGTCCTTCCTTATATATATAGTTTTGTTCTAGTTCCGAAACATAAGATCAACGTGGTAAATTAAAAACATAACACAAAATCCAAAATTCTAAATGATTTATGAACAACTTTTTTAGGATGATTTAATTTTTATAGAATAAATGTGGTTTTTGTCTGGAGACTTTAATATCAAATTAAAAATTGTTTTTATTAAAATATTGATATATTTTAGTATTCAAACTTTAAAATGAGAATGTGTGAATTATATAAACGATACAATTTTTAACATGAAATGTATTTAATACATTAAAATTTCTTTACATAATTAAATTAAAAAAATTATGTTATTTTATTTTTAAAATTTAAGACTAAAAATATATCAAAGTTTTAAATATAAATAAATTTTTAATTTCTCGGCTAAAACCTAACTTTTATTTGAGAAAATGGTGGCATATTTTATGACAGTTCTGAAGCACATGATGTTCCAGCTTCCGAAGCATGCACTTAAGCTTGAAGGGTCTCTCCATTTCAGCACACCTACTTTATATTTATTTCCTTTATTTATCTGTTTCTCTGTTCATGTACAAACTCTCAATTAAAATTTCTCTTCCAAGACTCAGCTACCAATGAATATTTGTCAGTAATATTAGACCAGTTCATTTGTACTTATTTAAATTTAAAAACAATAGTAAATCATGATTTAAAAGTAATTTTCTATAATAATTTAAATTATAGTTATGAAAATAAAATTATAGTTAAATTTTTTTTAATCCTTAAAATTCTCTGATCTTATTTTTCAAATAATTGTTTTGTTTCTAATCCATTAAATTTAATAAATTAATCTTTAAATATTATATACGAGGAACTAAAATAAGTTTTAAAATTTCAATTATAGATTAAAATCTAGAATTTAAAATTGTTTCAAAATTTTATGATCTTAATTAATAATATAGTGTGTGGGGGAGTGTATGTGTATGGAAGATGTGGTTTTGCAACGAGATCTGCGTCCCACGTTGCCGACCGGTGAAAGAGTGATCTTTAAGCTTTACTCTATCTCAAAACATGCAAAACAATAAAGCATTCACACTCTTCATCTTCCAGTAAACCCTTCTTCACTCTCATCAAACAAACTTTCATTCATTTCACTTGCATTCGTCAACGCGCCCAGCTCCAAAACGCCAGACCCCAATGCCGTTTTGATCCCATTCAATACGGTTTCCGATGGGTCACGTTAACCTCCCAGCCTCAAAGCGCGTGGGTGGCCCTCGTCAGTGGCGCCTGCTGGACGTCGTCACCGCGGCGTTCTTCGGCCTCGTCTTCCTCTTCTTCGTCCTCGTCTTCACGTCCCTGGGGGACTCGCTCGCCGCCTCAGGCCGCCAGACGCTGAACCTCTCCGCTTCCGATCCGCTTCGGCGCCCCCGCGTGTCGGCGGTCATTGAGGCCGGTCAGCCGCACGTAATCGAGGCCTGCCCCGCTGACACCGCCGACCACATGCCGTGCGAAGATCCGAGGCTGAACAGCCAGCTGAGCAGGGAGATGAATTACTACCGAGAGAGGCACTGCCCGCCGCTGGAGAACACGCCGCTCTGCCTCGTCCCGCCGCCCCGTGGGTACAAGGTGTCGGTGCAGTGGCCGGAGAGCTTGCACAAGGTATGTGCAGTGTTCTTAATCTTGAGATTAATTTGTTAATTACAAGTGTATTAAGAGCTTGAGAAAATAGGTTATACAAAGTTCAAAATAGTTTTATATATTCCACCATATTAGGAAGTTTGTTGATTTTTATAATAATTACTATGGAGGTGAAATCTTATGGAAGGTTAGTGTAAATATGTGGAGTATTTATCCCTAAGATTGTGTATGGAAAAAAAAGAAAAGATGTTTGTTTATAGAAATTTCTTAAATGAATTTCTTTAACATAACATGTTAGTGTATATTTGGATGTCAATCATTAGAGTTCTAAAGTATTTTCAGTCTTGAAGCTATAATCTTTTCTTCCTCATTTTGTATCTGGTAATTGGGGAATGTGCATTGATTTCAAAAAGCGTGTTTCTAACTTTTATCCAAACACAGCTTTAGTCTTAAACTCCTGACTGAGAGCTGTCGTAAAAAAACTTATAGAATGGATAATACAAAAAGTTAACAATCTTACGAGAATGGTAGCATAAAAGTAAAAATCTGTTCATTATAATAGCTACATTGCAATGAAAGCTCTATATTTTGAGTAGAATGTGGCATAAAACGGCAGGAGATTTCTAATAGAAAGTTCCTTTTTACTTTAGGGCAGTCAATAGAAGGACACTTTTTCACTTATGGTGCCTTGCACTAGTTCTACTAAGGGAGCTATTATGTCAGTGTTTGACAACTAAATAATTTTCACGTTTGGAAGATTGGAGTCGTTTTTTAGTGTTTTCAGGCATGTGACTGGTTTGGGTTTAACTGTTTGCATTTAGTAAAATTTTGGTGTTTGAGCATACCTTTTAAAAATAATTAATAATTTTAATGCTGCTAAAATTATTTGGAAGCCAAGTTTTGGAGCAACCTACGATAAAATAAAATGTCTGCCTCCTGGACATAGGCAATTATGAGTTTCAGAAAAATGTTTTTTATATTTGTCATCAGTGATCCACCTTTCTGAAAGAACTCATGCGATTTCTGTAGATATGGCATAGCAACATGCCATACAACAAGATTGCTGACAGGAAAGGTCACCAGGGATGGATGAAGATTGAAGGTCCGTACTTTATATTCCCTGGAGGTGGCACAATGTTTCCAGATGGAGCAGAGCAGTACATTGAAAAACTTGGTCAATACATTCCAATGAATGGTGGTGTTCTGAGGACTGCTCTTGATATGGGATGTGGGGTAGGATCTATTTTTCTGTTTCCTTGAGACCTTTTATTACTAGAATCTGTTGTTATTTAGCTTGAAAATGTTTCTCATGTTTTCCAGGTTGCCAGTTTTGGAGGATATTTACTAGCTCAAAACATATTAACCATGTCTTTTGCTCCAAGAGACTCACACAAATCACAGATACAATTCGCTCTTGAAAGAGGAGTACCGGCTTTTGTTGCCATGCTTGGTACTCGCAGACTACCATTTCCTGCATTTGGCTTTGACTTGGTCCATTGCTCTCGGTGTTTAATCCCTTTTACAGCCTACAGTAAGTTCATTATCGCAGCTGACCTTTGCATATCTTGCAATCTTCTAAATTGGCGTCACTACCCTAATGCAGAAACCTTGCCTTGCAGATGCAAGTTATTTCATTGAAGTGGACAGATTACTTCGCCCTGGTGGATATTTAGTCATTTCTGGTCCCCCCGTTCAGTGGCCTAAGCAAGATAAAGAATGGTCAGATCTTCAGGCTGTGGCAAGAGCTTTGTGTTATGAACTGATTGCTGTAGATGGTAACACTGTGATCTGGAAAAAGCCGGCAAGGGACATGTGTCTCCCCAACCAAAATGAATTTGGTCTTGGCATGTGTGATGATTCAGATGACCCAAATTTGGCATGGTAATTTCCAATATGTTATTGATAGTTAATTTTTCCTCTAACTATCTTTGCTTCACATTGGTTGACATCGATAATGTGTTGAACATCCATTATTTGTGCTTGCTACGCATCTGTTTCATCCGGACATGGTGTAATAGCACTTGGGAGAATGCTGTTGTTATTTGTTTACTGACTTCTCATAGTGTTTAAATGAGATTCCGCAATTAAGATGATTTATTTCGCAGGTACTTCAAATTGAAGAAATGTGTCACTAGGGTGTCTTCTATCAAAGGTGAATATACTGTTGGTACAATTTCCAAATGGCCAGAAAGGCTCACTGCTCCTCCAGTAAGGTCCACGATCCTAAAAAATGGTGCTGATGTATATGAGGCTGACACTAAGCGATGGGTAAGAAGAGTTGCATTCTATAAGAATTCTCTAAAAATAAAGTTGGGGACTCCAGCAATACGCAATGTTATGGACATGAATGCATTTTTTGGGGGATTTGCGGCAGCACTGAATTCTGATCCTGTGTGGGTAATGAATGTTGTTCCATCTCACAAGCCACCAACTCTTGATGCAATCTTTGATAGAGGCCTTATTGGAGTCTATCATAATTGGTGAGTTTTTTGCTGCATATTTCATGTCGTTTCTCTTGAAAGGCCTTTTTGTTGTATCATTTAACTTTTGTTAATCAATGGTAAATACCTTACCTTATATACTTCACAAGTGTTTGACTTAAAATTTACTTTAGTGTGGGAAATATCATTGTACTTGATGATACAGATTTTTCATACCGTAGACTATTTAATTCGACTTCTGTTTCGCTGAAATTATTTTGCTTACAGGTTGATTCCTGTTCTAAAGTTTGACTTGTTTAGCGGCTTTTTCTTTTCCTGGCACTTACTACTTCTATATTTTATCTTGTGTTTTTCTATGCGTCTCTGCATGCATCAGAATTTATATACATGATACAGTTCTCGTTCAGTTTTAGCATCTTGGATCTAGATTGCTCTTTACTTCTGCTCAGTTAAGCTAAATATTGAACAGCACGAGACAGTGAATAATTATTTAACTGATCTTATAATTCTTTGCATTTTAGGGAGTTCTCTTTAAAAAAATAGTGATAATCTTGTAGTTTTTGTTATGAAAATGAAAACTGAAGTAACTGACCTCTTATTTTAGACTCTTATTTGAAATTTGAGTTGTTTGATTAATGTTCCCAGGTGTGAACCTTTCTCAACATATCCTCGCACCTATGATCTGATCCATGTAACAAACATCGAATCACTTATAAAGGATCCCGCCTCTGCCAAAAACAGGTATTTTCATTCTAAAGTGCTAATTTGAATTCACAGACCTGGCTTCTTCTACATTTTCCATACTGTCATGGGACTTTTTGGGGTCATGATGATGTGATTGAATTTTCGTTTATGAATTTTAAATTTCAATCGATGCTTTCAAATATCTGTTAACATGAATAATTGGATAAAGCGTTAGCAAAAACTTGCTACCTTAATTGACGTGTAGCTCGTTAATTTCATCTTAGTTTTGTACCAAAGTCAAGTATGCATGTGCTTACATTCATAGTTTTACTACTTAATAAACAAAAGATTACAGTCAAATGTATTTCTAAGTTTCAGATACTAACAAACAAAAAGTGAGAGTATTTGTCATACTGTATCATCCTTGCAGACACAACTGTTCACATAAGTTATGAACTCACCTTGATTGGTTCATGATTTCATTACAGATGTAACCTTGTTGATTTGATGGTGGAATTGGATCGAATTTTACGCCCAGAAGGAACTGTGGTGGTGAGGGATACCCCTGAAGTAATTGAAAGAGTAGCTCGTGTTGCACATGCAGTGAGGTGGAAGCCCACTATATATAATAAAGAACCCGAATCACACGGCAGGGAGAACATTCTAGTTGCAACCAAGACCTTGTGGAAGCTCTAATGCTCATCCCACTAACATAGCTGCTTAATTTAGGTAAAATTTCCTTCCCACCGTTTCGGTGGATGAGGTTTTTAAGGCTACCTTCTCTGTGCATCAAAGGGATGCAGTTTCCTTTCCTGTTCAGTGTTTATATTAAGAGAGAGTAAGGTTAGGATCTGAGAAAATGAAAAAGATGTGAGGATTTTGTGCAGTTTTATATGGAAAGCACAAGCTAGTGTTATATTTTCTCTATAGCCATAAGGATAACTTGTAATTCAGTACTTTTATTTATCATTGTTTATTTATTGGAAACATCCATCACTGATCTAATTGGCTATCTAACTCAACCCCCATTCCCATGTCTATGAGGACTTCTTCCCTTATTTTGTTTACAACTACTACTGCATTTTTTTCAAGATTCTCAGTAGAGGCTGTGCTCTTCGATTACAAGCTTTAGTCAATGTTTTTTCTTATGAAAATTGTAGTCAATGTTCGATGATAGAAAATGGATCAGAACATAATAGAGTGGAATAAATTGGACTGAAATTGATTAAAAATGTCATCATATAAATTTTTTTCTATAAATTTATTTATTTTTGTCCATCGTATAAATTTAAAAATTCAGAAGTTGTTAATCTAAATAAGAGAAGTTACAACTTTTTTTTTTAGAAAAAAAGAAATAAAAGGCCTAGAAATCAGATTTTACCCAAAAGAAAGGTACATAAATTTTTAAATATATCACAAGAACTTAGAGACTATTTTTTTTTTATTAGAATGTTAATATTTCTTATATCACATTTCTCTCATATGGGGAGGAGGGGTGGAGTAAAATAATTACAAAAGCTGTAGAGGGAAAATGTAATTGTAAAATATGTTTTTCGTTCGTAAATATATTTAATCTTAAAAAAATTAAAGAACTTTGGTAATGATTTAAATAATTAAATATATATTTTTATCTTTAGTAATAATTATTCATAATAAGTTTCAACCTAATTTACAAAGCTGATCTTTTTACTTCATTTTCAGGTTGACTTCATTCATATGAAGACACATTGACAAATAAATTCGTAAAAAAAAAGATTGGAAAAAACCTAAGGAACTCAGACAGGTTTTTTTCATCTATCCTTAAGGCGATGAAAGTGTTTGACCCATCAAACACCTGAATAGTCATCACCGTTCCCTGAAAGGAATGCACCAGCCGGGAATCGAACCCGGGTCTGTACCGTGGCAGGGTACTATTCTACCACTAGACCACTGGTGCTTATTGATTTTCTTCAATCATTTAGATAAATATTCTATTACATTCTGTATCATCCTTTTTCTATTATACTCATTCAATTAATTAAACCTGGTTTAAATTACTTTGGTCTCTATAGTTTTATTATTCGAATTAAATATATGTTATTTTACTCACATTTTTTTTAATGATGGAGGCATTTGACACTCCATAATAAATAGACACCTTAAAAACAATATTATTATTTATTCCAAAATTACTCATCTTTTTTAGACAAACAATTAAATTTACATTCATCATCACAAACAAGTTATTCAAATAAAATATCTATGTTAATTTCGATTAAGTTAAATAATGTACCTAAAAGAACATTTCAACTAGTATGACCCTTGTTAACTAGAGGTTATATAAGTTAAAATGTTTTCATTAATATCTTCTATGTGACTACTTTTGACTTCGCAGTTGGTTCTCAACTTACAACCTATTACTCAAAAACATTCTTTAACAAAAATTGCCCTTATTTTGTTTTAAATATCATCATTTTACGAACAAGGCAATTTAGGAAAAACATATTTTGTTTGAGTTTGTAATATTTTTCAAGTTAATTCATTTCGCAATTAATAAAAATTAATAGTGGAAGATAAGAAAACAATGTTTTATATCCACCTTACCTTACAATAAAAAATTATGTATGGATTTCACTATAATAATTACATAAATCAAGAATTTTAATTATAATGCTTGAATGAAAGGATGAATTTGAAAAAGAAAACAAAAAAAAAATAAAAATGAAAAGAAAGATAAAAAAATTTAATATATATGTTAATTTATCTCGATTTTCATAATAGTTTTCCTACGATTTCTATAAAAGAAACGAATAAAAACTTAATCTTTATAATTCAAGTAACTTTATAATATATATATATATATATATATATTGAGTCAAAATAATCTCTCAGTTGGATTCAGAAAGATGAGTTTTGATCAAGTAACTAGCGACTGGTTCATTTGAAAAGTTGAATTTGATGAGTTCTTTTATAAACAAAAATAAGAAAGTAAAATGAATTTTGAAGTTAAAATGAACTTATGAGTTTAATTTTAAAAAAGTTTATTAAAATGAATTTTGAAGTTAAAATAGATTGTTGTTATATGTTGCTTAATGGACGGTACGAAACAACAGAAGTGTGAAATTATAGTGTTGATGGTTGAGTTTGCACCTCGTTATATATTTTGGTTTTTATGATGAACAAAAGAATAATTTTATAATTTTTTGCACAATAAATGATATAAAAATTGTATTGTCTGTATTTTATTTGTGCTTGATATATGAATTCATTATTGGTAAATGAATCAGGCTTAAAATAGATTGAATATCTCATTTTTAGTTGACATAATCGATTTAGTATTGTATATAATTTGTTAGATTTCACCATATCACTTTGTATCTTAACAAGGGAAAATTGTTTTGTAGTAATCGATTACATAAGTTATCTAATCGATTAAAACAAAAAGCAATGTCACACTGTTAAGAATGAAAATTGGATTGAAAATTTTCTTAAGTGCAGGATTAATCGATTACATAAGTTATCATCGAATTGATTAAATCAGTTTACTTTGTTTAATCCAAAAGCTTAACATATTACATAAAAACCTTAATCGATTATAATGCATCAGGATTTGAAAAATCCTATATACATGTATCTTGAGACCTGTTTCAAAACAAGAATTGATATCATTTTCAAATACTAACGTTTTAATTGAGTTTTGATTACAGGAGCATTCCAGAAGTGATCTTGGAGAATCAAGGCTACATTGGTTGCTTATACATCAAGATTCTTTCAAGAAAAGTGTGCTAAAGTTGTTCTGATTTGATCTACACTGAAGGAGTATATCTTAGAGATCAGGTTCTTCATTGACAATCTTTTTATTGTGTTCTTGTGTGGGTTTGCCAAGGGTTTAAGAGCTGTGAGTGCTCTTATATTAAGAGATTGAGGATTGTTCATCTCTTGGGTAGCTATATTGATTTTTAGTTGTGAGAGAAGTGCATTGAGAGGGGTATCTCTGTAAACTCAATATTTAACTCAGGTTGTTGAAGGAGGACTAGATGTAGGCTTGAGATTAGCCAAACCAGTATAGATTGTCTGTGTTGATATTTCTCTATCTCTTTTCTCTTGTTGATTCATCATTTTTATTTATTGATTTCAAGAAAGCTAAAGAACTCAAAAAGATTTTGAAAAGATCATCTTAAAAGGCCTAATCCAATTCACCCCCCATTTGGCATGAAATATAAGACATTTCTTTTCTTACAATTGACACCAAAGATGGAATTTGAAAACCACTTTAGCCGATTATACTGTAAATACCATTTTTCATCTACTTCACAAACCTTTCTTCTCTTTTCCTGATTCATCATGCTTTTAATTCTCTAACCTTACCTTTCCTTACTAAACTGATGTTCTAATGTACTCATTCCTTCAACACTTGAAATCTTTCATCTCAACCTATGATCAAACATTTCCTTTATGAGAACCACTAATCTTGAAACATCATTCTAAACTTCACTCTACAATATCCACTTGAAGATAAGATTTAATCATCTCCTTCTTATTAGATACTTAACTTAAGACTCTTACAATACTTCATTTTTCTCAAAGACTTCATTTTCTTTCATAGAAAGTCGACCCTACACCACTGCTCCTCAACCTTTTCTTAACCTTATTCTTCTTTTATAAAGATTGGTTCCCCTTTGTCCACTTTAAAATTCTTATTTATTTCTTAGCTTTAACCTTAAATTTTCCACCACTCGTCTTCTTCAGATCTCAACATTGATGATATACCGAACCATGTTGCCTTCTCAAACATTGATAGACCTGTGCACCAACACCTTCACTTCTTCTAACCTCTAAAATCACTGGCCACCAAAACCAAGCTGATTTCTCAAATCTTGTTATACCAATGCTTACCCACACTACTCTTGGAAAAACTTGTGGTTTCTACCCTCTTAACTCTATTCTTGAAATTCTTTCAACGAAAACAACACTTCTACCTTCCAACATCTTAATACATTCTTTGAAACTCAAAAACTTTGGTCTTTTAACTCCCTATCTTTGATGCAAGAATGTGTTTCAAAGGCCTTAATCAATTCTAATGAAGATATACATGTCAAGTTATTCTTGAATTTGCATTCCTCTACCACTATGAAGAACAATACACTACCACAAAGGCAATAACAAAACAAGAATCACTATAGCCAACAACATTGGAATCAACCCTTTCTTTCAATAACCTTCATAATTAAGAAAGGAAAATCATCTCTGATATCGAGTCATAAATGTGCACCCTCATTACTCTTATTAAAATGTTTTTATGTTCTTAAAACTTCCAGTTAGATACATTAACTCTACGATTTAAACTTAGAAAGACATGACAAATCATGTCACCTAGATTCAACTCTTCACAGGAAATATACGACAAACCCACAACTCGTAGGTCATACCTAAAATCTCTTTCCATACTTTCCATTCAATAAATAAATATATATTTAAACATACCACTTAATGTATCACCATCATCATATATATATCTATATAATCATCATTATATATACCCACATAATCATATGAATATATTTCACAAAAACATGGTAATAAATCACATGAAATCATTCTATATACATCAATACACAAGAACTAGTCCAAGAAGAGCCACTAAATAACACTAAAACTCCTTTAAACTCGTACTTATAGAAGTAGCATTCAAATCCAGAAACTAGCGCTTAGCGCTACAACCACTAGAAACCTGACGCTCAGCCCTAGCGACACTAGAAAGTGGAGCTCAAGTGCCGTGACAGAGGCGTTCAACGCCATATCAGAACTTGAACTCTTCTTTAATGACCTTGGACACTTGCTACACCACTTTAATTAATCCCTAAGACCTTCTTAACATTGAGAAACCCCTAAAAACACCTTTCTAACTCAAAATGACCACTTCAAACCAAATCAACTTCCCTAAACTACCTAATCTTTTTTTACTCTTTATAAAACCAATTTCAATCAACCAAAGGTACAAACAAGTCATAAATGACTCTA